TATGACTGGCTAGGAGAGGTGAAGAAAAGAGAGTGTGGTAACTCCAGTTTTATGATCAGGCTACAAAATAACATGGTGGTGTCACTCACTGTAGATACAAATGTATTGAGAGGACCAGGTACCATGGGGTAATGATAAAGAGAAATGTTCAATTTGCGATTCTTCAAATTAAATTCTTGCCTATAAAGCTCCCCTGATTCCAAGGTATGTGAGTCTCAGCGTGCTATGGCTTAATGCTTCTTGGTTTCAGAGTTAGAGTTCCTGTGTGCTGCGCAGAGTAGGAAGCTTCCCCCGGGGAACCATAGTCGTGAAAGGAAGAGTTACTTGAGAGCACCAGAGTCTATGACCCTTTCATCTTTGTGTCCTGAGAAATAGAATCTTGTTACCTCCTCACTACTCTGTATTGCTGATTCTGACACTCAAGAGAAACAGGAATAAATCTTGGTAGTAAGCACGAGTGAGTATCTTAGATACAGATCTGTGTGGTCTTTAGAGGCAAATGGAACCAGACCCAAGAATTTCATATTCTCAATATGGTCCTTTTTTTTCCCACATTCCATTGATACTTTTAGAATCAATAGATTTATTTCTAATCAATAGGACTCTATTCATGCAAAATGAGATTAATACAAAACTTAAAAAGTTGTTTTTTTTTTTTTTTTTGATAGAAAACATATTACTCTCCTATCTCTGGCTGTGTTTTGCTAAACCAAGTTGCTCTTAACTTTTTGCTATCACATAGATTTATTGCCATATTCTTTTTTACGTCTTTATTTTTTCTTTCTGGACATGTTTTGTTACCTGTTTTATTCTCCTTGTGGAGAGTACATGTCTCGAAAAACCTTTTCAGCTAATTAGGGGGTACTGTGAGATGGTTTTCTGGATAGTTTGTTTAAGACCTATGTCTGGATTGGTGAAAGCCTGGATTTGTTAGGTATCTTAGATTTGATAATTGTGTTTTTCATTTTGACAGGGAGTACAAACTTTCAGTGTTGCTTTGCTTTTATTCCCAGTTTTGTGTGCGTGTGTGTGTGTGAGTGATCTCTACAAATCATCTTTGGTGACTTAATTTGACTTAATTAATTGGATAGCTTGCAAAATCATGACATTTCTGGGCCAGAGATTGACTATAAGACGAGGAAGGAATTTCTTCCTTATATAAGATTCTGGGAAAACAGGTGCATCACATGTAAAACAATATCCTCAGAGATTAGGATTCTAATGTACTCACTGGTTCAGATTCAAAGATTTATTTCTTTAGATCTAAGCACCTTGGCTTCTCAGAAGGCACTTCCATTGCCAGATGCTTATAATTGTTAGTCACAAAGATTGTAGGGAGAATCTATTCCTTGAATGCAGCACAGTTCTTTTCCAGATAACAAATTTCCTAGAACTCTGTATCCACGTCACTTCCACTTTACATTAAATGTTTAGTCTGTGTCACTTTAGCCTTTTGGCTAAACTCTGCAGGAGCTGGCACAGGGAATCCCATTAATTGTCCATTTAATCTAATAGCCCTCTCTGGCAGAGGCCCATTTCTGCTGTTTTGGGGGCAGACAAAACATAAACCGTAATGCATCTCAGCAATTGGAGATTACAATATTAAATTTGCTGAGAAAGGAAGAGTGGACTGAGAACTCTGATCAGCCATTAAAAGAGAGTGATTGATTTTACCAGCATTTAAATGCATGCACGCACTTATTAGAGCCATGCTGAGTATCAGCATACAACTTAAAAGTATCAGGAATATATAATTTTCTCAAGGAATTAAACCCATAAAAATAAACCCCTATTTCCATTTGTGATAATATTTAAACAAATTATAACAGTCACACAAGACTAGTAGCATTTATATTAGGATCCTGTCCTACCCACACCTTATATTAGTAAGGAACTTGATGATTCAAAGTGTGATTTGTAGACCAAAAGCCTCAGCATTACCTAGATGCTAATTACAAATTCAAAAACCCAGGCTTCACCTTAAATCTACAGAATCAGAAATGACATGTCAAGATCTGTGAGGGATTTGTTTTTTTTTTTTTTTAAAGCCATGCTTTTTTTTTTTTGATTTTTATTTATTTATGATAGTTACACACAGAGAGAGAGAGAGAGAGAGAGAGAGAGAGAGAGAGAGGCAGAGACACAGGCAGAGGGAGAAGCAGGCTCCATGCACCGGGAGCCCGATGTGGGATTCGATCCCGGGTCTCCAGGATCGCGCCCTGGGCCAAAGGCAGGCGCCAAACCGCTGCGCCACCCAGGGATCCCCTGTGAGGGATTTGTATGCACAGTGATGTTTGAAAAACACTGGTGCAGAGGCTATAACTGAAAATAATATTTAAAAGTTGTAATCACATTTAAAAAAATTGGATAGATGTATAATCTGCCCAAGTCCTCCCTAACTAGAATAATTTTTCATGGACACTAAAGTCCTTTTAGTTCTATAATCACTAGGCCTCTCTTTATGTAAATAATAAAAAATATCCACCCTGCATTCTTCTCAAAGTTACAGGAAGAGTTAGATAGATGAACATGTTCCTATTTCTTTAGGCTTCTTTAATCTAGAACATTTCTTCCATCTTTCCTTGACTCTTATCATCTTGATAATTTGGAAGATTGTAGACCATTTTGTGGAATATCTTCCAGTTTTTGTTTGTTTCGTATGTTCTCACAGAATTCAACACAAGTTATCTATTTTTAGCAGAAATATTAAAGAAGCCATGCTATTTTTATTACATTATCTCAGGTAATGTATGATTTCATATTGTCCCGTTACTAGTGACGTTGACTTTGACAATTTAATTAAAATGGTATCGGCTGGGATTCTCCACAGTAAAATTACTTTCTTCCCCTTTTGTAATTAGTATTTTGGGTGGTGATACTTTGAGACTGTGAAAAATATCCCATTACTCATTGACTTTCAATTTATTTCCATATGTAAGTAGGGATCGTCTTATTCTATAAATAATAATCCATTGCTATCATTATTTACTTCAAAATTCCAATTTTCTCAACTTTACCCTGTGGGAACCCTGGAGAAGGTGAGTTCTGTATTCTTTTAGCATGTCTCTATCATTCTTTGAACACTTGCATACTTACTGGCATACTACGATATTCTAGACTTTATCTTGTATTTCTCCTCCCCCAATCCCAGAGCCAGCTTCTTCCCCAAGGAGCCATGGTTTCTGTGGGTGGAGAATGATATTTTAAGCCAAAATCTGGGCTCTAGGCGTGCTCATTACTACTGGGATAGTGTTGCTCCCAGGCCAACCAGGAGGATGAAGTTAGGGAATAGAAGCATAAACATAAAAGACAACCCTTGTATGGCCACCTCTTCCACTCTCCCCCATGTAGACATTCTCCTCTTTCTTCTGAGGCCTTGGCGTCTCATACAGACCATTTCTTTATCTACTGCTGCCTTGAATATTGACTTTTCACCCCATATAGGCTTCCCGTGCTAGGCTACCCTCCTACATAAATTCCTCTTTGCTCTGTTCAGACTAATAGCCCACTCTGCATCACTAGTGCTGCTATACTCATGCCTCCCTTTCTCTAACTGGGCTCTGATACATCAGCTAGACTACTGTAGCTCCTCAATCCTTCCTTTCTGTGTGAACCCCTATCTTAGCTCCTCAATCCTTCCTTTCTGTGCGAACCCCTATCTTAGCTCCTCAATCCTTCCCTTCTGTGTGAACCCCTATCTTACTCAGATCTAAGTGATACAATCTGGACCTAATAACTTATTAAAGGGAGAGAGGGAAAGGAAGTAGGAAAGGGAAGTGTCGTGGTCAGTGTTATGTGTCAGCTTGATGAGGCTATAGTTCCCAGTCATTAAATCAAACACGAATCTAGGAGTCACTGTGAAAATACTTGTGATGTGATTAAAATCCACGATTAGTTTACTTCAAATATAGAAGATTATTCTAGATGGTCTGTATGGACCCTATTCAATCAGTTGAAAGACCTTGTGAGCAGAGGTGAGACCTCCCTGAGAAAAAGAAATTTGCCTTTGGACAGCAACTTCAGACCATGTTCTGGAATTCTAGCCTGCTCTTCTGGGTGGCCTACCCCTCCTGCAATCACATACACCTATTCCTTGCAATAATCTCTTAGTATGCATCTCTTACTGGCTTTCTTTCTCTGGTTTAACCCTGTCTGATACAGGAAAAAATGGGGGGGGGGGAGAGAAAACATTTAATTATTATTATTTTAATGGAAATTCTCTGAGAAATGTTTAGAGTCTAATTTTCTGTTTCTACAAGGAGATGAAAAATAGAGCAGAAAAACATGTATCACGAGAGTTTAAGTTAATCATGGGGAAGAATTTCCTTCCAGTGAATATTAAAAATGAGAGCCTGAAATGACTCTCTGAGTCACTCAGCATCTAAGCAATGTCTCCTCAGAAAGGACTTATAGGACTTTTTTTCCCGTGTCAGTATATTCATCTACAACCTAGCGCCAAAAATTTCCTTTCATAATGAGTAATCTTCACTTTGAGTTCCAAAACGTAAGTCAGAGCACACTCTAAAAGCAAGAGGAAACTAATTCGAGGTAAAAGGTGGAAGTCGAGTCACATTCATACATGCAGCTGTAGTCAATATAATGTTCCATTCTGTGACTTTCTAACTTTAGGCTCATATTGTCATCTCTGTCTGTGACGTTTGTTACTTGTCCCTCGGAGGACTGTCTCCACCTTCATGTATCAGTGTAATACTCTTTTTCCCAGAGGTTTTCTCTAAACCTCTCTCTTCCTCTCTCTGTCTCTCTCTCCATTTTTCCTGCTTTAACCTTACTAAACCTATATTCATTTTATACTGTTTCACATATCACAGTTTCTTTCTCTTTAAACACACACACACACACACACACACACACACACACACACACACACACACACACACAAACCCAAAACTCCTCCTCACTCGCTTTCACTCTTTTTCTCGACTGGGTTTTAGATCCTCCGGAAGAGGGTTCTGGGGTGGGGGCGTGGCGGCCCCGGCAAGATGGCGGCGCCCGGGAAGATGATGTTTCCGGAGAAACCGGGCCGCGGCAAGTACAGGGCTGCCCTGAAGAAGGCGAAGCGAAAGAAACGACGGCAGGAACTGGCTCGACGGAGAGACTCGGGACTCCCTCAGCCGGAGGGAGAGGATGCTTCTGTCGAAGAGCAACGCCTGGAAGAGAAGCTGCTGGAGATCGAGAGGCAGAAACTGCACGAGGCGTGGTTGCTTCGGGAGCAGAAGGCGCAAGAAGAGTTCAGAAGAAAGAAGGAGCGGGAGGCGGCGGCTAGGAAACGGCAGGAGGAACGCGAGAGGCAGTTACGCGCCGAGCGGGAAGAGCGGCAGAGGAGAGAGAGGCAAGAGCAGGAGCGGAAGCTGCGGGAGAAGCGACGAAGGGAGGAAGCCGCGCAGAGGCTGCTGGGACGCGCCGCCGCCTGGCGGAACCCCGAGCCGCCCGCGGGCCCGCCGACAGCCGGGCGAGGCGGAGCCGACTGCCCGTTCTACAGTAAGACGGGAGCGTGCCGATTCGGAGACCGGTGTTCGCGGAAGCACAGTTCCCCGTCCTCGAGCCCCACTCTCCTCATCAAAAGCATGTTCACGACGTTTGGGATGGAGCAGCGCCGAAGGGACGACTACGACCCGGACGCGAGCCTGGAGGACAGCGACGAGGAGACCTACCAGCACTTCCTGGACTTCTACGACGACGTGCTTCCGGAGCTCAGGCACGTGGGGACCGTGGTCCAGTTCAAGGTCAGCTGCAACCTGGAGCCGCACCTGCGGGGCAACGTGTACGTGCAGTACCAGTCGGAAGAGGAGTGCCGGGCGGCCCTGGCCCTGTTTAACGGGCGCTGGTACGCGGGGCGGCGGCTCCAGTGCGAACTCTGCCCCGTGACCCGGTGGAAAACGGCCATCTGTGGTCTGTTCGAAACACACCAGTGCCCGAGAGGAAGACGCTGCAACTTTCTTCATGTGTTCAGAAATCCCAACAATGAGTTCTGGCGAGCCAGCAGGGACATCTGCCCGCCCCGCGATGCGACCGGCTCGTCCTCCGGGAAGGGCCCGGAGAGGAGAGCGCGCGCGGGCCGCCGCGCGGGCGGCTACGGGGGTGACTACGGGGGTGGCTACGGGGGCGGCTACGCGGGTGGCTACCTGGGCGGCTACGCGGGCGGCCACGCGGGGCCGAAGCGGCCGAGGAGCCCCGGCCCGGCCCGCTCCTGCAGGACGAGCCGGGGAGCCGAGAGGAAGCGGAGGAGCAGCCCCCGGGGCGACGAGTCGCGCAGACGCCTGTGGAGGAGCCGCGCGGGGCCCAGGTCACCCAGTCGAGGCGGGAAGAGGGGCCGCAGCCGGAGGAGCTCCTCTGGGTCCAGGAGCCGAGGCAGGAGGAGGTCAGGCAGCAGGGGCCGAACCACGCAGGGTCCCAAAGGCAAATAAACGTACTTTGGTCGTCACTGACTGTGCACCGTCCGCCGGAACCCCACCGCAATCTGATAATCAGTGTGTTCACAATAGAATACCTAGACAACATCAAATGCACAGGTAACATGAAACCCCTCCCCGTAGGGACCCCCGGGCGGCGCAGCGGTTCGGCGGGCGCCTGCCTTTGGCCCAGGGCGCGATCCTGGAGACCCGGGATCGAGTCCCACGTCGGGCTCCCGGTGCGTGGTGGCGCCTGCTTCTTTCTCCCTCTGCCTGTGTCTCTGTCTCTCTCTCTGTCTCTCTCTCTCTCTCTCTCTGTGTGTGTGTGTGTGTGTGTGTGACTATCGTAAATAAAAAAATAAGAAATAAATACAAAGAAAATCCCCTGTAATCCTAACCCTTAGCAGTAAAGTTCACGCTGGAAAACAAAACAAACAAACAAACAAACAAAAAAAAAAAAAGGAGAGGGTTCTGTCTTTCTTGTTTCTTTTCATGGTTCCAGCACCTAAGAGAGCGAATAGGTGTTCAAGAAGTAGTTGCTAAATAAATAGATATCACTGTGCCACTACTGCTTACCTGCCCATGATTCCAACAACAAGTTTTTGAAAAAGCAGTTTGATACTGATCTGAGATTGGATCTCTGCTGATGCGATGTTGTACAGTTTTAAGTCTCTAAGTAGGTAAATTCAAATAAAATTCAAGTCCAGTATTAGCATTTCACTATTCTTTAGGATAAAAGCAGTTGCTGCACTTCAGCACTTCTGAGTAGGCACGGCGGTATTCACCCATCTGTCCAAAGGTAATGGTGAGGTTTACTACTAGCTGGACCATAACCAGCATGATGAGTGAGTAAATCTCAGACTAGCTTCTCTCTTAAGCTTGGTTGTAGAAGAGCCTGGGAACCACTATAGATATTTAATGAGTCAGACAAAAGTGGGGGAAAAAAATCCTACCCAACTGTCTTGGGGCTATCATAAACAGATAAAAGATTACCACTGGTGTAATGGAGATAATGGGAGACCAAATATCAGTCCTGAATTACTAACAAAACAAGCCTTTTTTTGTAAAAAAATAATTGAGGTGTAGTTGACACACAATGTTACGTTAGTTTCAAGTGTATAGCATGGTGATTCAACAACTCTGTAGTTATGGCCACAGATGTAGTTAGATGATGAGATACAGTTTACAACTACCTGAATAGCGTACTGTGGAGACGATCAATTGATGTGCGAAAGCTAGTTTTACTTTATATGCAGATGTTCTGACTTCTTGGTGGACAAGTTTTTTGGTTTTGTTCTTGTTTTTTAAATGATGTGATAAATCACTAGCGATGCAGTAACAAAATCCTGTGCTGCTGCTCTATGAGTGATGATTATGTTGAGATCATTTTTATATTTAAAAAGATTAATAAGTAGGTACAGTCTCATTGGCTTTCATCTTAAAAGAAAAACGGTTTAACATAACTTTTATGACTCTGGTTCCAAACACGTGTTTGAAATGGCAATAAATGATCAGCCTCATGTCTGGATATTTTTGTTACTAAATACTTTTAAATACCTTGATAATTGATTCTTCAGTTTATATTTAAACATTTAGTGTTGTGAGCACATATGTTATGAGCACATAATTTATAGAACTGTAAAAGGAGGTGCTCTTACAATAACTTAGCCTCCTGGTTTTTATTAATTATTATATTAATAAGTGTGTGTTTTAAAACATATGCGGTTCAAAGAATGGTTTTGTTGCCATTCCAATCTTTTTCATTTTTGCATTCAAGTCACATACATAGACTCTCAATATAGAAATATTGAGAGTGTCTTCAAATCTACTTTAGGAAAGTAGACAGGCGGTTTTGATTTTTGTAGGTGATTTAAGTGGGCAAATATCCAAAAAAAAAAAAAACATACATATACTTATTGTCTGAATACCCTCTATCTTTTTGTAGTTTCATGTATATTTTTGTTTTTCTCTTATGATGTCAAAGCTCGAACAGTACGACTCTTAATATCTTACATACAAATCATCACTAGAAATGAGAATCGTAGGCATTTGGTGGCTCAAGTTCTCAAAAGATTCAGCTGTGTTTAACCGATTTTGATCCTACGAGTGTTTTGAGTTTGATTAGATTTAGTCATAACATAAAAATATTGAGACATATAAATGAAAAATTGAGAACAGGGGATATTGAGGTGTTTAGGATTTGAAGGGACAATCAGCCCAAGGTACATTTAGAACTTGCATTACACAATCCCTCGTGAATGTGAGAAAATAGATGGGACGCGTGTGTTCTGGCTCAGGGTTCACACACTGTGAAAGACACTGAAACCAAAGAAACAACGTGGATGTCTGTATAAAACTGGGTGGAAGGAATTTTAAGACTATCTCCCTGAAGCCCTGTATTATTGTGACAAGGTAGAAGTCTTTCACCCTCAATGCCATTTAGTCTCTTCATTTTGGTTGACCTGTGAATTAATGATGAACGTGTCTCGAATGTTCGCATGATGACAAGGGAATCATTTATTTTGTAAGTGGCACTGAAAATGTGCTGGAGCACGCACAATTTAAACTAACCAGTCAGCCGTTCTGTCCTGCTGATTCAGTGGTATCAAGGACACAGCATCTAACCCTCACACTTGGCTTAATGGCAACCCTCTATCAGAATAGGGCCCATGGAGCATGGATGTCGGTCTTGAGAAACAAATCTTTCTTCTTCAAATGTCAGTATCTCATTAGACCTTGCATTGGTAAAAAAAAAAAAAAAAAAAAAAAAAAAAAAAAAAAAAAGACCTTGCATTGGTTATTTTAGTGATGTTTCCCCACACCCCTCCGGTGAGATGAAGTGGTTTACAGCCTCTGCAGTCTTAAAAGTACAAGCTTGTAATTTGGCTCCAGGTAAACTGTGTGACTCTGGAACTGTTTGAACATGCATTTTTGTCATGGTGGGATTTAAAGATCATAATAAAACTTGATAAAGATGTAGCTTTTAAGAGAGTAAGAGGCATGGCCATGTGTCTTGAACACTCAGGAGGTTCCATCTGACCTCTGACGGCCTTGGCTGAATTGTGGTGATGCTGAATTGTCAAAGACAGTCTGACTCATCTCTCTTGTGCGTGGCTACATTTTGGTAATGTACACTATAGGGATGCTATTTGTATTGTTAACAGAAGGTTTCTATCATCTAATTTCCAATCTTTTAGACAAAAACACATCCTGATTTAATGAGACAATTTTATGATATATGTATTCTGAAAGACATCGGGAAGATTTTCAGTGTTTATGTCAGATTGTACAAGTACACTGGCCTGCCTTTCTGTCATGTGAGAAAACAAATTTGTTAATTTCTGTGCATTGTTAATAAATTATAGTAATAAAAAAAATGATTCCCTTTTCTCATTGCCTTTCACAATATTCTTCTCTCTTAGGAACTGCCCTGATTTTAATGCCCAAAATCCTGCACCAGGCAAACCAGAAAGACAGATCACTCTAACTTACATAAAATGCCTTTTTATGGTAGATAAATATCTGGAACTCCAATAGTACTTCAAAATTTTTTCTGTCTTTATATCACTATGGTTGAATTAGTTGAATTTTATGTCATTAGAACCATGTAATTACAATGACAGAGCCAAGTAGTATTATGATATTCCCTTTTCATACTACTCTTTGGTCTGCTGGAACGTAATAATTTGCCTTCATTTCCACTTGCATAATTTGCTATCCACATAACCTTTTTTTTTTTTCAAATGCCATATCATTTTATTAAATCTCTATTTTTACTGGGGGACCTTTCTTCCATAAGCCTCTTATTTCCATGGTTGATCCACTTTTGTGGTTTAATCCTTTACTATCTGAAGCACAATAGTTTTTTCTTAAAAAAAGTTATATATATATTTATATATATATATATACTTACACATATTTATTTATTTATTTATTTATTTATTTATTTATTTATTTATTTATGAGTTCATGGGAAAAATGGAGAAATATTCTACCCTCATAATGAGTGGATATTCTGGCTTGGCATAGTATTCCAGGTTAAAGATTCTTTGCCTTCAGAATTTTGAAGACAATCATCTTCTGGAATCAGTAGTTACTACTGAGAAATCTGAAGTCATAATAATTCTTATTTCATATATGTGACATTTCCCCCCTCTCTTTTGAAGACTTTAAGTTCTTCCCTTTAACACTGATATTTTGAAATTTCATGACAAATGGTCTTAGCATAAGACTTTCTCATTGAGTGTATAAGGAGGTCTGTAGCCTCATGTCCTTTAGTTCCAGAAATTTTCTTGGGTAATTCCTTTCATTTATTTTATCCATCTGTGCTTTCTAGGACATTTTTAGTCAGAAATTATTCCTCTTAGATTTGATGCTTTAAGTAAATTTGATTTCATATTTCCTAACTTTATATCTTTTCGTTATGCTTTCTAAAAATTTTCTGAAATTCATCTTTACAACTTTTAGTTGAATTATTTTTTGCAACGTTTTTCCAAGAGTTCTTATTTTCTGATTTTTATTCTCACAGCATTTAAAATTATTTGCATGCACTAACTTGTCTTTTGTGGAGAGAGTAATAAAAGTGTTTGATTATTTTATTTTATTTTAAACAAATATTTATTTACTTATTCATGAGAGACACACAGAGACAGGCAGAGACATAGGAAGAAGGAGAAGCAGGCTTCCTATGGGAAGCTGATGTGGTACTCGATCCCAGGACCGGGGGATCATGACCTGAGCCAAAGGCAGATGCTTAACCACTGAGCCCCCCAGGTGCCTTCATTCAATTATTTTAAAGACTTATCTGTCTTGCCTCTAGATAAATACAATTTTTCTACATTTTTCATTTGACTTTCATTTTAAGCTCCTCAAGTGTCAGGTAATGTTTAATTGTCCCTTCTTATATAAAAAGGGAGGCATTACAATAGCAACTTGGAAGCCCTTTGTTTTCTGGTAGACAAAAGGATAAAGGGCTAGATTTAGTAACTGGGTAGTTAGCTGGCTCTTCTGCTAGG